TTCTAGTTATTTATTTGTCTATTTATCTTTCTAGCTATTTAGAAATATCAGTTGCACATAAAGATGCAGTGTAGTCCGCAGGTGACGTCTTACAAGATGTTTCATGTTATTTTCCACAGGAAAAAGCAAGCAATAATGATATCGTCCTATATCTTATATAAATAATTCTTATTTCGCTCATGGCAATAATCACTATGTAGTCATACGTTACAGATTTACCAATAGCGTTGAACGCCATTACTTCCATATTCAGTCTATCCTCTCTAATGGCTTTCTTCTTATTTTTATTTTTTTTATCATAGGGTAATCGCTATTCAGTCCTCCCTGGTGTGCTACAGTGTGATCATGACGCTTCACGCTTCGCTGGGATTATAGTGTGACAAGCGCATAGTTTGACATAGGCCTATCTCCTCACCTCAAGCACCGAACATTCCAAAGAAACCGGCGAAGTTTTGGAAATGCTCGTCAAACTTGGGCTTCTGGCTATCCGATTGGCCCATTCGTGTTGCTTTGTTCGCGAAACCTCTCTCTTCTCTTCTTTGCTCACTGTTGTGCTCTCGATGCTAGGCCTATTTACTGAAAGTCCTCCACCAGTATCGGTGGGTTCGTCACGGTCTGTGAGTGTCTCGCTTGAGATGGAGGGGGATTGTGCTTGTGGTCGCATGTGTAGAAATCGTTAGTGCTCTGTGGGGAAAAGAAAAGACTAGTTTAACACTTTACTATACTACATTTCAATCAAGACAAGACCTTAGTTTATAATTGATCTATAGGCTAAGAGTTGGGTTGTTGTTGTTGATAATATTGTTCAAAATTTGCAGTGTTAGGGGGCCTATTTAATTCCATTTTTCTACCATGAACTAATGCCTCTTTTGATGCTGGCCTTTCGCTTGAGGAGCAACTTATTCTTGCATCGCCATTGCCAGAGAAATTCGCGTTCAGTTGGAATTCCCAGTGAGGATTATAAATAGACTCCCTTACAAGGAACACTTTGTACTGGGTTATTTGCCGTCTTCCATCTAGAATCTAGTGAAAGTTGCGTGATTGTACGACAAAACTACCTGGTAAGTGCCGAGTGTCCGTATGGAAGCGTTATTAATTTAAGTCATTAAAACAAGTCAAGTCTGTTATCATTTACACATCATCTTTAAAAATAAAAGACAAAAGATAACAAACATGATACAGATATAGGACTGTCCAGCAACTGTAGTAAATTTGCCTCATGATGTTGGTGGACGCTCTGGTGTGGTTTACTCTTCTTTTGTTTTCATAAATTTCAGTTAAATGTTGTTCTGTTGTTCTTATTAGGCCTACTCCTATCCAATCAAAAGACGGTCATTATAATTGTGTGGACCGAACGTCATAATTAAGTCACACTGTTGGTTAAACCTGCTAACGTCTTTTTAAAACACTTTTTGTGTGTGCGTGTGTAAGTGATAAAATGCCACTAACGTAACAACCGAAAGAGGCTGTGTTCACA